TATCCTAAATATATTTATCACCTCCCAGATTTCCTCCTCCCAATCCATTATCAAATCCCTGGATGACCTTTCGTCAGATCATAGTCCAGTTTTGCTTTTACTACATTCGAACTTTGCTAAACCTACACCTCCTAAACTAATTACAGGACGAGTGGACTGGGACAAATTTCGTCATTATCTGGAAGATAAACTGGACTTAAAAATTCCCCTTAAGACAAAACAACATATTGATAATGCCATAGAAAACCTTAATACAACTATAACAACGAGTATAAATAATAACACATTTGTTAATAATAAAAGCAATAATTTTAAGACATATTAACTTGCCACAGCATATTCAAATCTTATTAAGGGATAAACGCAGAGCAAGATCGAAGTGGCACAGGACTAGATATCCTTCAGACAAAACGTACTATACCGAATTGACTAACAAACTAAAATCAGAAAATATAAAACTCAACAATTACTGAACCTAACTGAAAATATTACAACAACTAACAATATAACAACTAACAATATGCTCCGGATACACGTCTCCCAAACCGCAGAATATACGTTCGCAAAATCTGCAAACGTTGGTGATGGGTGCGCACAAGACACTTCAAGGCGAAATGGCCAGTTTCTCTGGAGATGTAATTATTTAGTGAGCTATCGTTGATCGTTTAGACTACGCAGGGTGCACCGCGTGCTGGCGATCAACACCACCCCCCAAAAAATGTTTCTTTAAACATATTAAAGTAGAATATGAGAAGGAATTAGTCGAGGGTGCGGTCAAAAAAAATAAAAAAAATTAAAATATATAAATAATTTTAATTTTTGCCGACGTTTCGACCCACTTTGCAGGTCGTCTTCAGGGCTACAAAAGATACAAACATGTTGAAAATATAAAAATAAAATAAAAAATAAATATAAGTATATACAAATTACGAAGAAGTTGTCAGATACAGAAATAAAAGATAAAGAAAATAAATACATGATAAGAAAATAGATAAAAGAAAATAAATACATGAATGTTAACGAATAAATGAATGTTAACGAATAAATAGATTGAAAATTGAATAACTATTGTTACAGTAAAGTTAAAATATGGATAAGATAACATAATAATAAGATATCAGTGGATAACAAGCAAGTGGAGGTTACCTTTAATTGTAAATAAACAGATAACGGGACCAAAGGTTAAGAAGTGAAGAAATTGAAAGATTAATAGGGTAACATTAGAGTAATATTGTTGGGATAGATTATTAAGTATAAATAACTCTACAAGAAAACAATAATTTTAAAAGAATACTTTAAAATGTAAGAATAAATGTAAAAACAAGGTTATGATGATAAAGAAACAAAAAACAGGTTGTACTATATATAGATGACAATTGACATTTAGTTTTTTGAAAGCGGTAATGGAATGGTAGGCTGTATGAAGATAATAATAAGGTGTATAGTTGAAGGATAGGTGTGTTAAGAAAGGAATCTCAATAAAAGTCAAAACATACCGTTGGATGTGGCACTGCGGGAGGCGGTTGAAACACTGGTAGTGTCAAAAACTCTAGTTAGCAGTGTCAAAAAAAAAAAAGTTCTAGTAAAAATAAACGCATACATAAATACACATACAAACACACACACACACACACACATATATATATATATATATATATATATATATATATATATATAAAAGGAAAAGTAAAAGAAAGTATAAATGGAAGTGAGAAGATTAAATAGAGGTTTATGATCGAGACTTTTTTAAAATGTTGATGATTTGGGAGTAGGCTAGTGATAGATTTTGCTTGTCGGTTTTTAAGTTAAGTGGTTTGTGGTCTAATTGAATGAAAACACTTTCCGTAAGTAGTCTTTTGTCGTGGTTAGGTACTGTGGCAAGAATGGAGGTATTGTCAAAGTCAAATGTGTGGTTTGAGGTTAAGGCGTGTTCAGAGAGTTTAGAAGCAGTAGAGTTCTTAGAAGTAATTGAGTATTTGTGTTGTTTGATGCGGTCTTTAAGTTGGTTTTTGGTTTCTCCAATATAGGCGGAGTTACAATTGGTGGTAGAGCAAGGAATGCGGTATACGATATTAGAGCGGTGTTGCGGAGGGATGGGGTCTTTTAGGTTGGAGTAAATATTGGCAAGTTTGTTATAGTTTTTAAAAGCAACTCGCAGGTTGGGAATAGAGGAACGTAAAGATTTTTGAATTCTATCCGAAAGTAACGGGATGTATGGTAGCCATCTAAATAAAGGAAGGGGGGGCTGATTTTGAGAACTAGAGAAAGGGATGGAGGATGAGGGGCGGGTTTTGTAGTCAGTAATAAGTTTTTTAATGGTGTTGGAGGGGAAGTTATTAGACAATAGTATCTGTTGTATGCGTCTAGTGTTTGTTTCATGTAGGTAAGGGTCAGATAGAGAAAAACATCGGTGAATGAGGTTTTTGGCAACGTTAAGTTTTTGGTGAAAGGGGTGTTGAGAATAGTAGTTGAGTAATCTGCCAGAGTATGTTGGTTTTGTGTACCAGTCTGTGGATAAAGTATTGTTGGGATGTCTTTTAATGAGAAGATCGAGGAAAGGGAGGGAATAGTTATCTTCGTATTCAACTGTAAAAGAGAGGCGGGGATGATATGAGTTAAAGGCGGAAAGGATGTCAGGAATAGTATCAGGATTGACGATGAGAAGAAGGTCATCGACGTATTTTTTTATAAGAAATATGTCATTAGGAAACTGTGGGGCTATGGTGTTTAGGAGATCATTAAGAACAATGTTAGATAAGTCGGGTGCGAGAGGATTACCCATAGCTAATCCTGCAATTTGATTATAAAATTGTCCATGGAACTGGAGATAACCAGATTTGCAACAAAGTTGTAGGGATTCAATAAATGATGAACGGTTAAGGGAGGTATGAGACTCTAAGGATGACCAGTTATTTTCTACTATAAGAAGGGCTTTATCTATAGGGATGTTGGTGAAGAGGCTTTTAACGTCGAAGGAGACTAGAATGTAATTATCGGGAATGGTTAGGGATAATAACAAATTACGTAGATGAAAGGAGTTGTGGATATCATATGGATTGTCATGACTAAGGATTTGTAAGGATGGGAGTAGAAATTTGCTGAGTTTTAAAGAGGGAGAGTTGATATTAGAAGTGATAGGACGGAGGGGAGTGCCGGGTTTGTGAATTTTTGGAAGACCATAGAAACGGGGAGCCACGGAGTTATAAGAGATGAGGTTTCTGTAAGTAGGATATGTGATTTGTTTACTCCAACCTAAAAGACCACATCCCTCCGCAACACCGCTCTAATATCGTATACCGCATTCCTTGCTCTACCACCAATTGTAACTCCGCCTATATTGGAGAAACCAAAAACCAACTTAAAGACCGCATCAAACAACACAAATACTCAATTACTTCTAAGAACTCTACTGCTTCTAAACTCTCTGAACACGCCTTAACCTCAAACCACACATTTGACTTTGACAATACCTCCATTCTTGCCACAGTACCTAACCACGACAAAAGACTACTTACGGAAAGTGTTTTCATTCAATTAGACCACAAACCACTTAACTTAAAAACCGACAAGCAAAATCTATCACTAGCCTACTCCCAAATCATCAACATTTTAAAAAAGTCTCGATCATAAACCTCTATTTAATCTTCTCACTTCCATTTATACTTTCTTTTACTTTTCCTTTTATATATATATATATATATATATATATATATATATATATATATATATTTGTGTGTTGTGTGTGTGTGTGTGTGTGTTTGTATGTGTATTTATGTATGCGTTTATTTTTACTAGAACTTTTTTTTGACACTGCTAACTAGAGTTTTTGACACTACCAGTGTTTCAACCGCCTCCCGCAGTGCCACATCCAACGGTATGTTTTGACTTTTATTGAGATTCCTTTCTTAACACACCTATCCTTCAACTATACACCTTATTATTATCTTCATACAGCCTACCATTCCATTACCGCTTTCAAAAAACTAAATGTCAATTGTCATCTATATATAGTACAACCTGTTTTTTGTTTCTTTATCATCATAACCTTGTTTTTACATTTATTCTTACATTTTAAAGTATTCTTTTAAAATTATTGTTTTCTTATAGAGTTATTTATACTTAATAATCTATCCCAACAATATTACTCTAATGTTACCCTATTAATCTTTCAATTTCTTCACTTCTTAACCTTTGGTCCCGTTATCTGTTTATTTACAATTAAAGGTAACCTCCACTTGCTTGTTATCCACTGATATCTTATTATTATGTTATCTTATCCATATTTTAACTTTACTGTAACAATAGTTATTCAATTTTCAGTCTATTTATTCGTTAACATTCATTTATTCGTTAACATTCTTGTATTTATTTTCTTTTATCTATTTTCTTATCATGTATTTATTTTCTTTATCTTTTATTTCTGTATCTGACAACTTCTTCGTAATTTATATATACTTATATTTATTTTTTATTTTATTTTTATATTTCCAACATGTTTGTATCTTTTGTAGTCCTGAAGACGACCTGCAAAGTGGGTCGAAACGTCGGCAAAAATTAAAATTATTTATATATTTTAATTTTTTTTTATTTTTTTTTACCGCACCCTCGACTAATTCCTTCTCATATCATATCAACGGTCAACCATCTCTACATCATTAAAGTAGAATATATTTGATAAAAATACGTTAATATGTTAATCCATATGATCGGCTGTAGCTCCGTGAGAGAAGAGGAAACGATGTTTAAAGAAACATTTTAGAGTCATTAGTAAAACAATACACACAATAATAAAAGAATATTGAAAAGTCAATATAAAAAATTTATCACTAAAAATGTCAACTTAAAATTACTAAAACTTATAAACTAAACTGAACTTACTAAAATTATTAACTTATTGCTAGTTATCCGGTAACAGGTCTTTTACCGTTGTCAAATTAATTGGTACTACTAAATAACTCTATCTTATAATAAAAAGTATACTAATATGAAAAGAAAAAAGATCAGCATTCCGTCAGATCGATGACCAAAGTGCCGTTCTCGATGTACTCACGGGGCTTCTCCTCGGACTTGGCGCTCTGCACATCCTTGATCCTTTGGACAGCCATGTGCTTGCGGACGCCCCTCATCGATGCGAAACTCAAGTCGCATACCTGGCATGAGTGTCCTCGTAGTCGGCCGTAGACCTTCGCTCGGCCCATCTCAAAGTTCTCCCTCCTGTCGTGGGCTTCCATGTGCTCCGACACGTCTTCCAAACCTCTGAATATACGTTCGCAGAATCTGCAAACGTAGGTGATGGGTGCGGTGATCCTTCCATCGACAGCGTCTGAAGGAGTTCTCAGTCCCAGAGGATCCTCGTCGCCATCCGCTCGACGCCTCAAGCAAGGTGACTCCGACGGATCCAGGCCTTGCCACGGAGATGCCGTCAGTTCTTCAGCGTCAAAAGGAGAAAGGGCGGTGTCACTTCCGAAATCTTGGCACGTTGAAGACCTGAAACAAAATATAGGGAAACTGTAAATGTGAGCCATTATTATATGTAAAATATAGAAAGGGAAATTATCTACAAGAGAAATGCACAACACACGACACGAGGCACAAGACACTTCAAGGCGGAATGGCCAATTTCGGTGGGATGGGGACGGTACAGAGGTGGTAGAGGTATCCCTTCCTTATGATTGCCCTAGGCACACGCAGCCATATAAAGGAAAAAATGAAAGTCGAGACCCTGATTCCCGATCGTGAAAGGCCGTAATAAATCGGTCCGCCCGTCATCCTCACAGGTAGTAAATATTGCAGGTATTTACAGTGCCATCCATGTCTCTTACTAACCCACGCTAATAAGATATCTATATTTATGTACCCTTATTCCTATCTATTTGAAAATATACTAGCCACGTATTTGAAAATTTTCTGCCTCCACTCACTCGACTTTCCTACAGATTTTATACAACTCAAAATGCAACCGATCAGAGAGAAAAAGCAAAAAAAAAAAATTAATTTCTTTGATGAACTGGAGCAAGACCTGTATCGCATAGACCGTAAGGTCCAATCAGATGAAACTCTGGCAGTCTTCTCCTCGATCCCTTTAAAGTTTATTATTTAATGTAGTTGCCCGAAAAGGGGCTTGGAAAGAAGTCATGAGGTGTGCTAAAATTGGATTTCCTGATATCTCGAAAGTGTGTTACTTTTCGCTGTCGTCTTATATGGTCATTTCAAAGTTTTCGAAATTACCTAGAAAACAAAAAAAATAATCGTCGAAATCGGTCGATCTGGTGCGAAGATATGCTCTCCTAAATCTCTTCCAAAAGTTTTACGGCAAAGCTCAGATCCATTGTGTTTTACTTTCTAAGCTATTTCTAATTACAAATGATAAAAAAATAAATATATATATATATATATATATATATATATATATATATATATATATATATATATATATATATTTAGGCGTGTTTTAGACTCATGAACGCAAATATTTGTTTAATAGAGGACGTCTCAAAAATTGGGCAGTTCGCAATACCTTTCTTACCTAGCAGCGCTGGGTTTTCGGACTACAGTCTATGGAAAAACGCGTATATTTCTCTTATTCCTCAAGGAGCGCTCAATCAGTTCGAGAGGCATCGGTAGACAAAATACAAAAATACAAAAAAAGAAGCAACAAAATCGCTCCCCACGTTACCGAGATAATCATTGCAGAGACGGACAGAGCAATGCTCCATATGTTTTTCCAAAGATCCGTTAGAAACCGTATATCGAATATTTGAAGCGATGAAATTGGCGCGTACATTCCCTGGCTCAAGATGAAATTCCAACACAAATGAAACGAGAAGGACCTAAATGGACGGTATGACTTATCTGCTTGTGCGTGGCTACGATGTGGAGTCATTGGAACGCCTTAGCCTTTGCTTAATAGGAGAGCTTTGAGAGCTGTTATTGCCTAAACTTCTCGATCTTTTACTTTTCGTAGACATTGCCATGTCATTTAAATAATCTGGCTGAAAAAATAAAATAGCTCGATGTAAAAATAATTACGTAGAACGGTGGAGCGGCAAGTGACGTAACCCTCCTGCCTCTCCGGCAGCCTTCCGGCTACTGAGTGAGGAGAGGAGACTGCTTATAGATAACAATATAATAGTTAACCTCTCCACCTAAATCTATTGTTGTTACCACTGTTCAGTAAACTTGATAAATAAGCGATTACTCACTTTGTTGTGTTCATTTGATGAGCGAATTATTAATTGTTCAAATAACACGGTTTATAATCACTTCAGTTCACTAATTCACTGGTATTTTAATAATTTGTGGGAGACGAAGTAACAGCTGGTTTGTAATAGATTAGCGCAAGCGCAGAACTCGGGGAAAAATTATGGAAGTGACCAGGAGTCTTCGGGTTTTAAGGAGAAATAAGTGACGGAAGTGGTTTAGGCGTTTTAAGGTGGAAATGGTCCGGCGGGAGATGCTGGATACGTGGTTTTTCCAGGAAAGCGTTTGATCGAAGGTTATTCCAAGGTTTTTGATATAGGGATAAAACTTGATGGAATTATCATGTAGGAAAAGAGTTGGAATATGTGGAACAGTTTTAAGGAGGTGATTGGAGCTAATTAAGATTTCCTTTGTCTTTTCCGCATTCAACTTCAACTTGTTGGCTCTCGCCCAGTCACAAATCTTATCCAAGTCTTCTTGAAGTTTTTCTGTGGCTGCTAATACGTCGGAGGGCGGGAAGGATAGGTATATTAATACAACAGTGATTATCAATATCTTCACTATAATCAATTATAATCCGATTAAATGGTGTATTTAGGGAGCTCTGTAAGTAGAGGGAAGTATTTAAAAGGTTGATAGTAGAAAGATCAACATCTATAAAAAACTTCATATGAACAGTTGCCCAATTCTGGCAGAAAAATAGAAAATTTTAAATTTGTGTTTTTTTTTTAAGCGGGTCACATTTTTTGTTGAACGAGAAAACTAAAAAAACTATTTGATTTAAGTAATTAAACATTGCTCCATAGTAAACAAAAAAAAATCTCTTGATAGGAATATCTCTTCCTTCCCATCAGTTCGGATTTCGTTCACAACACTCTACAGTCCAACAAGGACTCCGAGTGGTTGATCATATTTCCGCAGCATTGGAAAGCAAGCAATATTGCTCGGGTGCATTTCTGGACATAGCTCAAGCTTTCGACCGGGTATGGCACGCCGGGCTTCTTTCCAAGCTGAAAAACTATCTTCCTCAGTCCTTGTACCTTGTTCTCCGTTCCTACCTCTCAGATCGTACCTTCCGAGTTCGTTGCGGTACTGAATTTTCGCATTGCTATCCAATTGAGGCAGGTGTTCCTCAAGGTAGCGTATTGGGTCCCGTCCTTTACATCCTCTTTACCGCCGATATCCCTGTCCATCCCGATACCTTCCTGGCAACTTTTGCTGATGACACCGCTATTCTATCATCCGACTCAGATCCCAACATAGCATCCTTAAATCTCCAAAACCACCTCACCTTGATTGAGCACTGGTGTAATAACTGGCGCATTAAAGTTAATGAATCTAAATGCCAACACATTACCTTTACACTCCGACGCAGTTCCTGTCCACCAGTACACTTTAATTCCATCCAGCTTCCTTACTCAGACTCAGTCCGGTATCTTGGCTTTCATTTAGACCGAAGACTGACGTGGAACCCACATACTAGACTCAAAAGACAAGAACTCAACCGACGATACGGCCAGCTATACAGACTACTAAACAGAAAATCCAAACTTTCTATTGAAAACAAATTACTTATCTACAAGACAATACTGAAACCTATATGGACATACGGACTTGAACTGTGGGGTACAGCAAAAGCTTCTAACATCAAACGTATTCAATCCTTTCAATCTAAAGTCCTTCGAACAATAGTTGATGCTCCGTTCTATGTAAATAACAAAATCCTACACCATGACCTTAATATCCCATTTGTCCTAGACCTTATTCCAGAAAAATTCTCCAAATTTCACCAGAACCTTACCTATCATCCAAATCCCCTTGCACAATCTCTATCCAGCACCACCCATCCTTACAATCCTCCTCGAAGGTTGAAGCGGCAGTGGCCCAGAGACCTTTTGTAAATAAGCATCTATTGGAGTTTTGGCAATGGCCAGATCCTCCACTCAAGCCCGAGTGTGTATGATTAGGTTAGTTCTTTTGTTTATATACATTTATTTTATTTTATTGTATTTATTTTTATTTTATTTATTGTATTTATTATTATTAAGTTTCTGTATTATTTTATTTATTTATTTTTTTATTGTAAATAGAGTGTGAGTGTGCTTTCTCTGAACACTATTATAAATGTCCTTGATGTGACAGAATGTAATATTTCTAAATAAACAAATAAAAAAAAAAAATAAAAAAAATGATAGGAATATAGAGGTTGTCATTGTTAAAACTGTTTAAAAAGTACTATTGAGCAAACAAACACAGCTAAGTTCTATTTTAAAAAAAGTTATAAATTATTTGTGATTTTTTTTATCACCTTTCAGCTGTACTACAGTTACTCCACTTTTAGAAAAACTTCCTCGTTTAATAAACTTAAGTCCATATTAATTAAGTTGTATTTGGAAAAATGTTGAGATTCACCTCCATTTGTGTAAACAAATGAAATGGTTTTCTATCCAGTCACGTTAAAGTAATGATGTTTTCTGCAAAAACTACTACAATTAACTGTTGAAAGTCTTTATTTCTTGTTTCTTATTTCTTTGTTTCTTGTTCTTTGTTCGTTATATGTGATGTATTGCAATAATCATAATTCCCTAAATATACACTTTATTGAAAAGAATAAACAATTTTAAAATAATGATTTTTCAAATATATTTCATGTAACGTAGTTATGATCTTGTAGTTTTTTCCTCCAATATTTCTGTCATAGGAATAGGTGCATATTTAGAAATAGAAAATAATTTTATTCTGGGACAGAGTCCCTTTAGAATAACAGAATAGTACATAATTAAAAGACTATATCCGGCCTAAATAAAAGAATAATAAAAAAAGAGAAAGTAAAGAAAATATCAGTCAAACAAGCTACATACAAAAAAACATTTATATACAAAACATTTAAAGCTATGACAAGACACTTAAAACTATGTACAGTAGGAAAAATTATAATTATACACTTTTGAGAAATAAAATAATAAAAAATACATTGAGTTCTTCTTTAAAATAAGCTGGGTTTTTGCTAACAAGAGAAAGACGAATCTGACAATGTAAAATCTCACAGTATTTAAATAATGAATACTATGTAAACACATCGTAATCTTATTGTAACTATAGATACAAATTTATTTGTATAAGAATAAAAGTATAAGAATAAAAAAAAAATTAATAGATGCATTCATTGGCGTTCCTCGCGCGGGCTTATTACCGCGTATGAGGAGCGTCCCACGGGTGGCGGATGTGGGGATGGTCGGTGGAAATTCCTTGGAAGTCCGATGGACTCGCTGACCAACAATGAGAGG